CGTCCATCGTACGACTATGTATACTGGCCTAAACCTACAAATGGTGAAAGCAGTTAGCCAGCAGTGCCATCCCATTTTCTCAGGCTAAGCGTAGTCTCAGTAATCCGACCGGTATGCACGTAACTCCAGAGACTAACTGTGTGCGTGAGTTGTGAATCTAGCAAGCTATCCCGAAGGTCTAGAATCACTACGAGGCCTGCTAGTTTAGTCAAATGCTTTTAGGAAACCAGGTGTCTCATAGGCCTGGAGGTTCTCATGGATGTCAAGCGCCCTCAGTCAGGACTTCAAACGTTCTCAGATACAATACGCTTCCAGGATACTAGGAGACAGGGCACGCTCAGGAGACAGTTCGACTCTCTCAGGAGGCGGGCTGGTAGGCAGCGGCGTCCGCCGGCGCCTTGAGGCGGAAAGTATCTGTCTCCAGTTCATCAGTGATGTAGTACAGGTAGAGCACCCAGTATACCGCATTCAGCGCCCCAAACAGTAAAGGGAACACCATCCGCGCGTAGATATCCACCACTGAGAAACGATCCTGCAGATCCTTCTCCGTCAGACGCTCCAGCTTGTTCATCACGTACTCAAAACTCGACTTGGATTTCTTCTTCCCAAACAGTGTCGGCATGAGTGACCCGGCGCCGGGTGGCTCCTGTTGTGGCTGCGGCGCGGTGCCGGCGAACTCCGAGAACTCCATCTGGGCAGCCGCCATATCCTCGTCCTCCTGGGTGGCTGGTGTGGAGGGGGCCGACTGTACAGCCACCGAGCCGTCCCGGCCCAGCATACCGACCATCCTCTGCCAGAGGGGGGATGGGTCAGGGGGCCGACTGTACGGCCACCGAGCCGTCCCGGCCCAGCATACCGACCATCCTCTGCCAGAGGGGGGGATGGGTCAGAGGGGGCCGACTGTACAGCCACCGAGCCGTCCCGGCCCAGCATACCGACCATCCTCTGCCAGAGGGGGGGATGGGTCAGAGGGGGCCGACTGTACGGCCACCGAGCCGTCCCGGCCCAGCATACCGACCATCCTCTGCCAGAGGGGGGGATGGGTCAGAGGGGGCCGACTGTACAGCCACCGAGCCGTCCCGGCCCAGCATACCGACCATCCTCTGCCAGAGGGGGGGATGGGTCAGAGGGGGCCGACTGTACAGCCACCGAGCCGTCCCGGCCCAGCATACCGACCATCCTCTGCCAGAGGGGGGGATGGGTCAGAGGGGGCCGACTGTACAGCCACCGAGCCGTCCCGGCCCAGCATACCGACCATCCTCTGCCAGAGGGGGGGATGGGTCAGAGGGGGCCGACTGTACAGCCACCGAGCCGTCCCGGCCCAGCATACCGACCATCCTCTGCCAGAGGGGGGGATGGGTCAGAGGGGGCCGACTGTACGGCCACCGAGCCGTCCCGGCCCAGCATACCGACCATCCTCTGCCAGAGGGGGGGATGGGTCAGAGGGGGCCGACTGTACAGCCACGGAGCCGTCCCGGCCCAGCATACCGACCATCCTCTGCCAGAGGGGGATGGGTCAGAGGGGGCCGACTGTACGGCCACCGAGCCGTCCCGGCCCAGCATACCGACCATCCTCTGCCAGAGGGGGGGGATGGGTCAGAGGGGGCCGACTGTACAGCCACCGAGCCGTCCCGGCCCAGCATACCGACCATCCTCTGCCAGAGGGGGGGATGGGTCAGAGGGGGCCGACTGTACGGCCACCGAGCCGTCCCGGCCCAGCATACCGACCATTCTCTGCCAGAGGGGGGGGACAGGTTAGAGGGGGCCGACTGTACATACAGCCACCGAGCCCCCGGCCCAGCATACCGACCATCCTCTGCCAGAGGGGGGGAGACAGGTCAGAGGGGGCCGACTGTACGGCCACCGAGCCGTCCCGGCCCAGCATACCGACCATCCTCTGCCAGAGGGGGGATGGGTCAGAGAGGGCCGACTGTACGGCCACCGAGCCGTCCCGGCCCAGCATACCGACCATCCTCTGCCAGAGGGGGGGGGATGGGTCAGAGGGGGCCGACTGTACAGCCACGGAGCCGCCCCGGCCCAGCATACCGACCATCCTCTGCCAGAGGGGGGGGGGTGGAAGGGTCAGAGGGGGCCTACTGTACATCGACGGAGCCGTCCCGGCCCAGCATACCGACCATCCTCTGCCAGAGGGGGGATGGGTCAGAGGGGGCCGACTGTACAGCCACCGAGCCGTCCCGGCCCAGCATACCGACCATCCTCTGCCAGAGGGGGGATGGGTCAGAGGGGGCCGACTGTACAGCCACCGAGCAGTCCCGGCCCAGCATACCGACCATCCTCTGCCAGAGGGGGGATGGGTCAGAGGGGGCCGACTGTACAGCCACCGAGCCGTCCCGGCCCAGCATACCGACCATCCTCTGCCAGAGGGGGGATGGGTCAGAGGGGGCCGACTGCACGGCCACCGAGCCGTCCCGGCCCAGCATACCGACCATCCTCTGCCAGAGGGGGGATGGGTCAGAGGGGGCCGACTGTACAGCCACCGAGCCGTCCCGGCCCAGCATACCGACCATCCTCTGCCAGAGGGGGGATGGGTCAGAGGGGGCCGACTGTACAGCCACCGAGCCGTCCCGGCCCAGCATACCGACCATCCTCTGCCAGAGGGGGGATGGGTCAGAGGGGGCCGACTGTACAGCCACCGAGCCGTCCCGGCCCAGCATACCGACCATCCTCTGCCAGAGGGGGGGATGGGTCAGAGGGGGCCGACTGTACAGCCACCGAGCCGTCCCGGCCCAGCATACCGACCATCCTCTGCCAGAGGGGGGATGGGTCAGAGAGGGCCGACTGTACAGCCACCGAGCCGTCCCGGCCCAGCATACCGACCATTCTCTGCCAGAGGGGGATGGGTCAGAGGGGCCGACTGTACAGCCACCGAGCCGTCCCGGCCCAGCATACCGACCATCCTCTGCCAGAGGGGGATGGGTCAGAGGGGGGCTACTGTACATCGACGGAGCCGTCCCGGCCCAGCATACCGACCATTCTCTGCCAGAGGGGGGGATGGGTCAGAGGGGGCCGACTGTACAGCCACCGAGCCGTCCCGGCCCAGCATACCGACAATCCTCTGCCAGAGGGGGGATGGGTCAGAGGGGGGCTACTGTACATCGACGGAGCCGTCCCGGCCCAGCATACCGACCATTCTCTGCCAGAGGGGGGGATGGGTCAGAGGGGGCCGACTGTACAGCCACCGAGCCGTCCCGGCCCAGCATACCGACCATTCTCTGCCAGAGGGGGATGGGTCAGAGGGGCCGACTGTACAGCGACGGAGCCGTCCCGGCCCAGCATACCGACCATCCTCTGCCAGAGGGGGGGGGGGAGGTCAGAGGGGGCCGACTGTACGGCCACCGAGCCGTCCCGGCCCAGCATACCCACCATCCTCTGCCAGAGGGGGGAGGGGATGGGTCAGAGGGGGCCGACTGTACAGCCACGGAGCCGTCCCGGCCCAGCATACCCACCATCCTCTGCCAGAGGGGGGGATGGGTCAGAGGGGCCGACTGTACAGCCACCGAGCCGTCCCGGCCCAGCATACCGACCATCCTCTGCCAGAGGGGGATGGGTCAGAGGGGGGCTACTGTACATCGACGGAGCCGTCCCGGCCCAGCATACCGACCATTCTCTGCCAGAGGGGGGGATGGGTCAGAGGGGGCCGACTGTACAGCCACCGAGCCGTCCCGGCCCAGCATACCGACCATCCTCTGCCAGAGGGGGGATGGGTCAGAGGGGGGCTACTGTACATCGACGGAGCCGTCCCGGCCCAGCATACCGACCATTCTCTGCCAGAGGGGGGGATGGGTCAGAGGGGGCCGACTGTACAGCCACCGAGCCGTCCCGGCCCAGCATACCGACCATTCTCTGCCAGAGGGGGATGGGTCAGAGGGGCCGACTGTACAGCGACGGAGCCGTCCCGGCCCAGCATACCGACCATCCTCTGCCAGAGGGGGGGGGGGAGGTCAGAGGGGGCCGACTGTACGGCCACCGAGCCGTCCCGGCCCAGCATACCCACCATCCTCTGCCAGAGGGGGGAGGGGATGGGTCAGAGGGGGCCGACTGTACAGCCACGGAGCCGTCCCGGCCCAGCATACCCACCATCCTCTGCCAGAGGGGGGGATGGGTCAGGGGGCCGACTGTATAGCGACGGAGCCGTCCCGGCCCAGCATACCGACCATCCTCTGTCGGGAAGGTCAGGGGGACGGGTTGGGGGGTAGCTAAAGGGACGGGTCATAAGGACGGGTCACAGTGTCGTTAGAGGGACGATGAAGGTCGGAGAGCGTAGCAGGGCGTGGTTGAGCGAAGCAGGACGGAAGGCAAGCGACAGTACGGCATGGGTGCAGCCTGTATGTAGAAAAGAAGTGCAATTAATCACTGTCGCCTCTCCATCTGCATGCCATTATTTAAAGATATTTCCATACACCAAGTACGCAACTTGTTATGAAATCGTGTGCAAGTAACACGCACGCAGAGAACACCACACGTAAACACGCATATATCTGACACGACAAAATCGTACTTCAGCCGAATTATCAGCGGCAAAACATTGTTTCAGCGCTGCCATCAGACCAACTTAAAAACTATCAAAACTCTGCTCTGGCTCGCCCGCTACCGCTTAAGCACCCTTCAGCGCCAAATCGCCCAGCTGGGTGTCATTTTCTGGGCAAGTTTATCTCGGTGGAGCCTCAGCCTCTCGGCTATTGTCGGCCTGATGACACCCTGAGCTCACTAGTCACAGCTGCGACCGGCCGCTGCAGCGGCGAGGGGCGAGGAGCGGGACTAAAGGCGCAAAGTGCGGCCCGTCAGTCGCGACAGGCCAGAGTTGTCAGTTTTTTGCGCGGTTTTTGTATCATCTCTGAAGATATAGGCGGGTGACTGTTCTGTTTTGATTCATGTTATTCATATTTCACGAATTTCCGAAATGAAAGTAAAGATATGTTTGGAAAACAACTCTTATTACTTAACGACTTCAGTCCGGTTCAAACTTTCACACACTCAAGTCTCACTTGACTTGTATTGCCACACATTTGCATTGCAAGGCAATCACGATCCCAGAATCAAGCGGTGTAGTAAAAGGCACAAAGGCCAGCCGCATAAAGAGCTCAAACGTTACTAATGTTCCGCATCCCAAGTACGTTAAATTTGGCTGACACTGACAGCGACCCGCACATGGGTCCGGCAGTCAGAGAAGTGGCGTGCCCAAAACACAACAAAACGGCGTCACTTCCGCCTCGGCACGTGACACACACGACATCAACGTCAAGGTTTACGAAAAGTGTTACAAACACCAGCGCCATCTACTCTACAGAGGCAGAGAGTACCTACGGCATACGCTAAATATCCAACACTCCCCACCTTGAGAGCCTCTCAGCGACAGAGAGCACTCAACATCATGGTACGAACAAATATCAAACAATACACCGCATGGCGCAAACAAACACAAGCCATTAACTTAACTAATATCTCCGCGGGCGCCGAGACACGCGACCCGATCGAGTACGAACCTCGGGCTCCCTCGCACTTGGGTCCTCACCAGCCGGACCAACAGATGGAGCCTCAACACCATCACAGACACCACCAGGCACATCAAACGCCGCGCCGGCACCGCATGGAGGCGCACGGGAACCGCCACAGGGCGGAGGGACGCCATCAGGGCTGTCATCGACTACCTCAAGATTGTGCAGACGCTGAATAGCACACGTGTAACTGCCCTTAGCGGTGCGCACATCCACACTTCTCACAACACCGTCCCTACCCGGATGCACCCGCTCTACCACTCCCCAAGGCCACCTCAGACGGGGCTGGCTGTCCTTTTGGATCATCACCACCGATCCTACCCGCAAACCACCTCGGGAACTAAATCGGGGAACGGCAGCAGGGAGGTTACGCACATACTCACGCTTCCACACCTGCCAGAACTGCTCCAGACGAGCACGGCGGACAGACTCACGCTGGTAGAGCGACTTCACAGACACGTTCTCGTGGTCCTCAATCACATCAGGACTGAACACAGAGCCACGGCCAATCAGAAAATGATTGGGAGTCAACGGATCGGCACAGGTGACGTCATCACTCACAAATGTCAGAGGTCGGGAGTTTATACACGACTCTATCTCCAGAAGAACAGTCTCAAGTTCAGTCAAAGTTAGGCACCGCTTACCCAAAGCCTTGCGCAATCCAACCTTAACGGACCGAACCAGCCGCTCCCACCAGCCGCCGTACCAGGGAGCAGAGGGCACAATAAATCTCCACTCAGGAGCAGAGTCCACCATCGTTTCCTTCAGACGAGCCGCACACGCTCTGAAGGAGGCAGCATTGTCAGAAAAGATGATGGCCGGCCAACCACGTCTGGCCGCAAACCGTCGAAGGGCCAGAATAAAAGCCGGTAACGACAGAGAATCTGTCATCTCCAAATGGACAGCTCGTGTGGTCGCGCATGTGAAGAGGCAGATATAGTACTTTTTCCCAGGCTGATCAACAGAGAACAGCGGACCCGCGAAATCGATGCCAGTTACAGAGAAGGGAGATGACTCTGTCACTCGAACACGGGGAAGCTGACCAGCCGGCTCACAGCACGGCTGTGAGTCCTGTCGCTGACACGCCACGCACTCGCGCTTCACGGACCGGGCAATGCGGCGGGCAGACACGATCCAGTACGTGCGCCGCAAAGCAGACAACAAGGTGCCCACACCGGCGTGACTCATCAGCCTATGCTGAAAGCGAATGATCAATAGAGATAGATGACACTTTGGAAGTATGATTGGGTTCTTCTCCTCAACTGACAGGTCGGACAGCTGAAGACGACCCTTCATGCGAATGAGACCGTCCTCGGCCAGGTAGGCCGACAACCTGTACAAAGGCGAACTCTTGGACACAGTCCTACCCTGTTCCAGCGCGGAACACTCTTGCGGATAACTAGTACGCTGTGCCTGTCGTATCAGGTCAGCTTTACCCACACACAGCTCTCGGTACGAAAGTTCAGGTGACAGGTTGCGGCTGTCAGGGTGGCGCGCGTTCCACACAAAACGCCTCGCCCACGCCGCTACCCGTACGGCCTTCGTCAACGTGCTCCATCGCTCAACAGTGAACACATTCCCGCAAGTAGGCGAGTCGGGGCGAGACTCCAGAGTAAGAGCCACCGCCGGTGACGACTCCGCGCCAATCACGTCACACTGACCTGGCAAGCGCTCACCAGAGCACTCCGGCTCACCAGTGGCGGTCTCCCGTTCGCCCGTGTCCGACTCGGCCAGCTCCTCGGTTGTCACAAACAACCTGCAGTCGACGGGCGAGACTCGTGGCGCCCTTAGCCATGCAGGTCCGCCGAACCAGAGGTCAGACTCGTACAGCTGGTCTGCGAACAGTCCACGAGAGGCTGCATCAGCGGGATTCTGCACGCCCGAGATATGACACCATACAGAGGGGTCAGTCAGAGTTTGAATTTCCTCTACACGGTTTCTCACGAACTGTCTCCACTTGGAGGGACGACTCGTCACCCAAGCCAGGGCCACAGTCGAGTCAGTCCAACAAAACGTCCGCACGTCAGACAGTCTCAGGGCAGAGCACACATGCTTTACCAAACGTGCAACCAACAAGCACGCCAACAGCTCGAGCCTGGGAAGACTGACTGTTTTCACGGGAGCCACACGAGCTCGCGCCATCACAAACGAAGTGGTGAAGCTGCCATCGGGTAGTGGATACCGGACATACGCCACACACCCGTACCCCTTCTCACTGGCGTCACCGAACACGTGAAGCTCCAGCTGATCAGACACGTCAGACCAGCACACGTCACCCACCAGGTAACAGCGGGGCACACTCAGCTGTCGAAGAACGGAGACACCAGAAAGCCACCGTTCAAAGACATCGGAGTCTGACAGCGGCAGAGGATCGTCCCACGCCAGACCCCGGATCCAAAGCCGCTGAAACAGAACTTTGGCGGTCATCATGTACGGAACAAGCAAACCCAGAGGGTCAAACATCCTTGCAAGAAGACTCAGCAGGACCCTCTTCGTTCCAACCACACCAGCCGGAACGTGGACACCCCCAAACTTCAGCACGTCCACAGCCGGGTCCCAGTTCACACCAAGTACTTTCAGCCCGGTCTCAGTTTCCTGAGAGCTGCCAGCGGACTGCAGCACAAGGTCACTGTTCGAGTGGCACTTAGTCAGCGTCATACCAGCCTCTGAAAGGATGGACCTGCCCTCCAGGAACATCTCAGTGGCCTCAACTTCGGAATCTGCACCAGACAACCAATCGTCAACGTACAGGTTCTCCTGCAGCTCAGAGACCACCCTGGACATGGGGCGGCTGGCAAGGTGATGCTTAATCACGGCATTCAGAAGAAACGGAGAGGAAGTAACACCAAAAGGGACACGAGTAAAGCGCATCACACGCACTTCACCATTCTGCTCCCACAGAAAACGGAGACAGTCCCTATCCTCTGGCCGCACAGATATCTGGAGAAACGCCTTACTTATGTCACCAGTGACTGCATACTTGTGCCTCCTGAACCGTAGAAGCACATCAGTGAGACTGGGAATCAGGGACGGCCCAGCTTCCAGACAGTCATTGAGAGAGACCCCGGTGGGTCCACAAGCTGAAGCATCGAACACAGGACGAACTTTGGTGCTCACACTACCAGGGCGGACTACAGGTCTATGAGGCATGTAGAACTCTACACCAGAGGAACATACAAGCTCACACTCGGGGACCTCCTCAATCACGCCACACAACTCCATGTCCTGTAGCACGCGGTCATACTCATCCCTGAGCTCCTCGTCTCCACTCAAACGACGAGACAGGCTCTGAAGCCTTCTCTCAGCTGAACAGCGGTTAGGCTGTAGCTCAGTCACAGAGGAATCACCCTTCCACGGAAGGCCTACCTCGTACCTGCCCCCCTCAAACCTCACAGAAGACTCAAACTGCTTGAAGACAGCATCGTCCTCAGCATGAGACTCACTCTCCTTGGAGCTGATGCCAACACCTTCCAGCTCCCAGAGGTTTCTCACCTCTGTGTCCCTCAGGTCGCCCAGACAGAGGAGGCGACAGGAGACCAGGCTGGCGCTGCACTGCGCATCGGTCACTGCACCAGAGACGACCCAGCCAAAGCAGGAGTTCTGGGCGACAAGACCAGAGGAACCAATCAAGACACTTGACCTGAGCAAACTCCAGTAGCAGTCAAGGCCAACCAAAATGTCAACACACAGGTCCCTGCTGAAGTCACCGTCAGCTAACGTCAGCTCCTTGAACTCGAGTACACACACATCAGGCACAGTTGGACGAGACAAGGGTGCACAGATCACCGGCACGGCCACAGCTGGGAACACCTTCATGTCACAATCAGATGCAGAAATGCCTTTGACACACATCTTGTACACATCACGTTGACCTCGAGAGGCTTTGCCACCACCGAAGGCAGCAAAGTTCACACTCTGGGAGGTCAGCCACTGAGCACCAACACGTTTCACCAACGACTCAGTCACATATGTACGATCAGATCCAGAGTCAAACAGCAATGTAGCTTCCACAGCTCCCTTAGACCCCTGAACAGTCACTTTGGCAGTGGGTAGAACAGTACACTGTCTAGTTTTCGCTTCAACACCACAAGGCAGAGCAGCTCCTGAAGCCTGCTCCTCTGCTGTGGTCAACACACTCTGAGCAGAGGGCTCTGACTTTACACCATGAAGACGAAAACAGCACAACTGATTGTGTCTGCCACCACACTCAGCACAACACTGAGAGCACTCTCGGGCTCTGTGACCTGACTGCAAGCACACAAAGCACAGGCCAGCATACTTAATTCTGTGCAGTCTTTGTGGAACTGGGAGGCCAATTACCTTAGGACACTTATCTGTGGGGTGTGGTTTTCTGCAGAAACCACAACCAGACGAGGTAGAGACGACTCTTGTAGCTTCTTGAAGAGCAGGTGCGGGTTGGTCACCCGGCACAGCAGCAGAGTGCAGCACAGAGGCTGCGGCAGGAGCAGGTCCTCTTGGAGCAGGTGGACGGCGCTGAAACGCCGGCTGGGGCCGACGTCCATTCCTCTTCTGAGCAGCCGGCAGTCTCTGCTCCAGATCCAGAGGGACAGAGCTGCCCTCCAGGACTCGAGACCGCTCCAGTCGCTCAATCTCTGCCTTGAGACAGTCGAGGAGAAAGTTTAAGTCACCCTCACGGCCAGCACTCCCCCGAGCCCACTCCAAACGGAAAGAGTCAGGCAGGCGACTCAAAACCAGAGGGGTTAGAATCACTCCGTACGTCTCCCCACCAACACCAAGTCTCTCAAGGCTACGGATATGCAGCAACAAGCTATCTTGAACAGATTTCAGGTCTTTGCTGTCATGCACACCAAGTTTCAGCAGTTTTTCCACATGAGCAAAAATAATCTGAGCAGGTCTTGCAAATCGTTCCTTCAGAATATCACAGGCTACTTTGTAGTTCTCACTGACCACAGCCAAACCATCTATAGCTTGTCGAGCATCACCGTACAACAGGGACTTGAGATAGACAAGCTTGGACACCTCTGGCAAATCAGAAATATCAACACTGGCCACAAACTGGTCCCAGAAGGGCTCCCACTCAAGAACTTGCCCACCAAACTTGGGAAGCTGCAGTGTTGGTAGCTTTACGTTCTGACTTGCAACAGAGAGAGGGGGATCAGTCTCACCTGGCTTCGAAGATTTAGCAGACCTTTTGTCAACAAACCTCAGAGCTCGTAAGCGTGACTCCAATGCAGCATCACGAACCTCAGATGCTCTCGAGATGTCTTCTTCCAACTCAGACTCATCCAGACAGAGCTCCAGTTTCTGCTGCACTGAATCAAGATTACCAAGCCTCAGATTGAACTCACTGATAATACTGTTGAGCTCAACATCATCTGCGCCAGAGGCCACAGCCTGATCGATCTTGATTACTGCTCTCTTCAGCCATCCACGAGCAGCGACACGAGCCCTTTTTAGCTCCTCAACAGACATGGTCACATGAGCAACCAGCAAATCGAAATCCCCGAGTTTCGGCACCAATATTACTTAACGACTTCAGTCCGGTTCAAACTTTCACACACTCAAGTCTCACTTGACTTGTATTGCCACACATTTGCATTGCAAGGCAATCACGATCCCAGAATCAAGCGGTGTAGTAAAAGGCACAAAGGCCAGCCGCATAAAGAGCTCAAACGTTACTAATGTTCCGCATCCCAAGTACGTTAAATTTGGCTGACACTGACAGCGACCCGCACATGGGTCCGGCAGTCAGAGAAGTGGCGTGCCCAAAACACAACAAAACGGCGTCACTTCCGCCTCGGCACGTGACACACACGACATCAACGTCAAGGTTTACGAAAAGTGTTACAAACACCAGCGCCATCTACTCTACAGAGGCAGAGAGTACCTACGGCATACGCTAAATATCCAACAACTCTAATGGCTTACTGTGTCCAACATTTTAATCGCATTTGTGTTTTCGTCTGCATCAATATGAGTCCTGAGCGGGATTTAGGGACTATTCAACGGGTCGTCGCCACCAATACCATTCAGTTCACAATGAGCTTGCTCCCACCAACCGCGCCGGAAAGGAGAAGAGACAAGAAAAGCAGGAGACTGGAAAGGATAGGAGGGAGAGGAGAGAAAAGGAGAGTAGCAGGAGAGGAAAGGATAGGAGGGGAGAGAAGAGGAAAGGATAGGAGGGGATAGAAGAGGGAAGCAGAGAAGAGGAGAGGAGAATGGAAGACTGCAGCAGTCCGGTATCTACCGCCCTATATTACCGGCGCTCATTCCGCTGCTGTCGTCGGTCTGTTCCAATCGAGTCTCGATATGGCCCATCCCGGCCGATTTATGACTCATCTCTGTGTTTCTACGACGACCAAGTGTCCGCCAGTGCCCTGGGCTCTCGCGGTGTCTCCTTCGGCCCCCTCGGCCCTACAGACCAAATTGTGATAATTACGGCGCCGCAGCGGTTCAACTGACCACACTCATAACGTCACTGTCAGATGTCTCTCATGACCCCACTCGTGATGTCTCTTATGACGTCACTTTTGACGTTTATGACATCACTTGTAGGCCTCGGCGACCGCCGGCACGTCGGCGGAACGGAAATGAACAGCCGAGTGGTTCTTCTTGGCGCGGCCGCGGCAATTAATGACCGTCAAAATGTGTCGGCTGACGGCCACTCTGGCCGCTTGGGTCGCTCAGGGAACGTTTGGATGGCGTCGGCCGCTGCCTGGCGCCGACTGTTGCCTGCGGCTAGAGAAATAGCGGTAGAGGAATCAAACGATGAGAAAACAGCGCTTAGAGCAATTAACGACCAGGAAGATTTACGTGCAAAGAAATCAGCGTTTTAGCGAAATTGAAGCCATGAAATAGGCATCGATCGTTTGCCAGGCATGGTAGCACGGTAACTGAAAAACTGTGTCACCACTATCACAAACGAAGTGCAGGTCCGTTTCTTGAACAACTCCATACCCGCAGTGTAATTACTTGCACTACGTGGTTCGAAACACATCGTTCTGAGTCCTGACTTCTCCTCGCGCCGAGGGCTGACATATTTCTCATTGTTTGCGCGGCCAGGTGTGTCCGTTAACTATCGGTCTGTCGATCGACAGGGGACGCCCCTCCTGTCGCCTCTGCTGTCATTATAACAAGTTGTTTGAATAAATATTTTATGCTATGTCAATCACAACAAAGCTAGAGAGACGGGTCGGCACGAATCAATGCTGGACTGGTGGCGATAATGATTTGAGATGTCAAGTCTGTCATTATATCGGCTTTAAATTATGTTCATTTCCGTCCAGTGCCACGTCTACTTCCAATTTACGTCCGTCTATGACCGTATTTTGTCCATGTTTGTGGCAGCTTCCTTGCTATTGTCTCTGATTCTGTCTCCGTATGTCTCCTTCCGTTTCCTTTCTGGTCCTCTCCTTTAGTGTCATTCCGTCTCTCGGAGCGTCTCCCGCGTTTTTTGCGTCTCTCCACGTCCCCGTGTGTCTCCGTTAGCCCCTGTCCGTGTCCGTGCGGCGCGTGACGCCGCCGTCAATGTTCCGTCGTGATTGACCGGTGGGACGCAGCACGTGCCAGGCACTCTGCGTGTCGCAGTGGTGGTCCGCCCCTCGGGTCCTACTCTGAGGAGCATATCACGCGCCGTGCGTCCCTGGACGGCTGTGGGACGCGCCGGCCCACGGCGAGGGAGGCGCACACATAAACCTGCAACGCTACGCGAGGGGGGGAGGGAGAGAGAGAGAGAGAGAGAGAGAGAGAGAGAGAGAGAGAGAGAGAGAGAGAGAGAGAGAGAGAGAGAGAGAGAGAGAGAGAGAGAGAGAGATAGAGAGAGAGAGAGAGAGAGAGAGAGAGAGAGAGAGAGAGAGAGAGAGAGAGAGAGAGAGAGGAGAGAGAGAGGAGAGAGACAGACTGTCGATGGTCACAGAGTGACATTATAAGTGTCCTCATTTCAATTGGGAAGACGGATCACCGAATCTGTTCCAGTGACATTGATTTGAATCGTTCCAGGCCGAGCTGGCCTGTGGCGACTGACGACATAAATGTTCGGACTGAGCGAATGGCCTGCTGTGTGGGGGGTCTGGTCCTGGGTCTGGTGATGGGGCGGAGGGCATGGCCCGCGGCGATAGTAGCAGTGGACGATGACAGGCGGGAGCTCCATTAGATTCGGTGACAAGTGCGATCTATGTTAGCCGTGATGGCAGGCGGACACATTGACAGAATGTGTCAGACCCAAAGATTGAGTCAATGAAACAAGCCGCATGATGTACTATAATATTTCACGCCTTGCCCTGGTACTTGTCAAAGATGACAATACAGTGCGTCTTTAGGCGCTCGCGCTCTTACCAGACGATTGAAATGGTTATAGGTTCAGGATGCACTGCATCGCCGACATCATGTGCATAGTGCAGAGGCCATGACTTTTCTGAGCAGCCTCTTGTCGGCAGGATTGCCGCTAATTTATTGCCTGAATTACTCAAACAAGCTGGACATACATACCTTATGCCTTTCGGTGTAGAGTCTTTTGAGCTCTTCTAGGTTCGTCTTTTTATCTTTCAGTCGTTTCTCTATAAAATTGATGGTGGCAAATTCCACCATAGATGCGAAGACGAATGCAAAACACATGATGACCCACCTGCAACCGAAATGTATAAAAATAAATCAACTGTATAAAAACGAGCTTGCAGTATGCACTTACTGTTTTGGATCACAGTGTAGCAGAATTTTCAAAGCTATATAGTCTGTACCTACTGCAATATATTGCGATGTATATTATGCACGTTAAACATATAAATGTGCTACACAGACGAATACGATATATTGCTATGCTTTTTTAAATATTACGATACCCACCTCTAGGCATTATGTGCAATTTTCTTATGTCAGTGGGTCAGCACTCACCAGTCCAGAGCGGTGGCGTAGCTGACGCGGGGCCAGCTACTGCGGCTTCCGAAACCCAGTGTGGTCATCGTCAGAACAGTGGTGATACCTGCCAAAAGAGATAGAACGGTGGTGATACCTGCCAAAGTCAGAGAGGGGATCGTCAGAACAGTGGTGATACCTGCCAAAATCAGAGAAATGGTTGTCAGAACAGTGGTGATGCCTGTCAAAATCAGATCGGTCATAGTCAGGGCAGTGGTGATACCTGCCAAAATCAATATCGTTATTGTTAGTGCGGTGTTAATACTTGCCAACAAATATATAATCTTGTCGCACGCGGAAACATTGCCCAATCAGTTATGTCGTAGGAGTGATAGCGCTTTAACAAATAGCGAACTGTGTCCGCTTAGAAAGTTTCAAGCCCCTGAAAAAGAGTGCGCTACATTATAATCACTCATTATATATAATTATATACATAATCACTCATTTTCAGGGGCTTGAAATTTTCTAAAATATTCATCAACACTATCTTCACGACATATGTAGACATGGGCATGGACGTATAGTTTTATTTCTTATTTTCCAAAAATGCATTCATTTAAAATCATCGGAAGCTAGAAATTGTCATACCAGCTTCATACCATGTCATACCAGCTTCAACTATTCTATCAATAAGTTCAGGTCGACGATTAGCTCCTTTTAGCATGTCTCAGGCACAGAAATCTAAAAAAAAAAACGGAATGCATTCATAGGTCCGCCCACCCAGTCCGTTTGCAGTTAACGATAAAGCCTGCCAGGCTCATGAAATACAGATTCTAACTTCTAAGTGTAAGTTTTATCTTGCTTATTTTACTTTCATGACTTTACGGTAGCAACCACGAAGTGCTGCTGTGTGAAAGTTATAGCTGACACACACAGCCAAGTGGTTTTCGCTGTACGCCGCCACTTTTGCCATATTTCGTCGCCCAGTAAATAATTGATTACACTGCTATCAGCGCGGTACTACTGAGTAACGAGTGTATGTCGCAGCATTTTCACTGCGAGTTGTGTTGGTACTTGGACAGATCCTGTCCTGGAATAACAGGCGGTGTTTAGGAAGGCTTAGTGCACATACCGCACATACCAGCACGCTTAGGTGCCATTCTTGGACTTACATGGTCTGGCCAGCAGCCATTGTACTCGCGTTATTACTTCAGGGGACGGGTTGAAATAACACTATCGAATGAAATACCTATGCAGGCGTTGCAAGCCTTCACAGGACCTGATTTCCTACTGGCAAAAGGTTGCTTGCTTCTGGAACCTCATCAACATCATGACCATTGCAAAAAAAAAATGCCAGTAAGCCCAGAGACATGATTTTCAGTTGGTAAAGTCAATAGTTGTTACACTCCAAAATACTTTACTTTATTGCAAAGGATAGTGACGATGCCAGGCCAGGAATGGTTCGATAAATCGTGAACATTAGCGGTGGCCAGCGAACGAGTATCGACCCTGCGGCGAACTGCGGTCGCTCATACGCCGTCCTGGCGGCGCGGCAGGCGGCACAAAATTCCCCCGAGAGGCCGGCGAGTCCGACAACTTGACCCAGTCCTCGAAGGGCTCATTATGTGGCGCAAAGTTTCCTGTCCACGGCGCCTGGATCAATAGTGGTCAGAGGGAGGTGGCACACCTCAAACTGCACCTGGTGGGCTGGCCGCCGGACCCCCTCCCTGTCCGGTCCGCTGCGCGGTGATTTGATTATAGCGGCTGAGCCCGGCGGGGCACGTAACAAGACCTGTCTGGCTTTACTGACGGTCACACGGCGGCTCGACTGCGCCGCTGGAAAGGATTAACCTGCAGTTCGCGGCAGGACACACACCCACGTAGCAGGCTAGACGGTGAAATTGATGTCAAGCAACACTGGACGGTCGAATCAGCCCTCTCTGAACAAATATCACTGCAGCTCTGCGGGCTATCCACGAAAGCCGTGCATTTCGTAGGCGATTAGGATCAATTTATGTACAGAATGTATTATCATTGTGTTAGCTCTTATACCTAC